AAAGGTGAGTTCGTGATGTATGGGTAAGTTGATTCATGTTTGTCGACCTTTAGCCTATCAGTTAAAAACAGTCAAATAAATGGTCATGGTATGCTAGGCACAAATTATTTGGACGTGCGCACTTGGAAAAAGGAGTGCTATGCATGTTTATGAAGCACTCACCAACACCCAACAGCTGAGGCCCCAAAGAATGCTTCGTCTTCTTGCCCACTTCAAACTTGTTATTGGCAGAACGACTACGTGAACGTGCGGACTGATCCACAGAGGACCGCATCTAGACCTGTGGAAAGAGCTGAGGGTAAGAATACAAAACGGCTGGAAAGGTAATTTGTTCCGGTAGTTGAGTCTACAGTGGAACTAGTCCAGTGCCAAATTCAAGGATCGCGAGCACCAATCCCTATCAAACACACATCAATTCTCATCTCCTCCTCACCAAACCCCTATTCTTACCCCACAAGACTCCGAACTCCGGCAAAAGGGCACAAGTATTTGGTCCAGTTAAATTGTAAGATGTCCGAACGCACACGCACACAGTTGTAAGGAGCCCCAAAAGGAAGGCGAAAATTGCAAGGAATATCGAAGATGTTCTAAGGGGAAATGGGCCCAAGTCAAACCGAGGTGGTGGATGCTCTCCTCACTCCCACCACCTCGTCCACCTTTTCATGAATACCACTTCAAGTGCCACCATTACAAGCATTGAATTTCTATTCAACTGAGAAGATACACGACTGCAACTTAGCACTGCATAGGGATCTAGGTCTAATAAGAGGTGGAAAGACTGTTTTCTAGTGCACTATATGTAGATCAAGTTGTATTTGCAGGTCACTGCCCCATTTTTAGAGGCCTGCATATCGGCTTAACTTTATTTAGTGGTTGCGAGATATCGTATCTCCTTGGATGTCTAATGTGGATGCAGTGGTCCCATTAGAATTCGCATGACTTGTGTGCATTTCTATTTTTTGAATGAACAATCACATGGCTATGCTGTGGACCGATTTGCTAATTTCCTCCTCTCCATTTCTGTCATGGCCCCCCCCCGGGTAATGTGGTTTACCTTTTAGGGCACTTTTATCTGTCAAGGTCGTTTCACTCATCGTGTATCGATGCAATGACCCACTTCCTTACATCATAGCCACGACACCTTGTAGGTCGGTATATCTGTTTAATCCTATCTCCGTAGGTCACGTCACTTCTGCACTTCGCAACAGCTTGCTGTCAGAATTTAGTGGCGGTCGAGTTTAATGTCGCTGTCTGTCAGAGAATCCCACTGGCTGAATTCAAAGTCACTAAACTGCCAATGGGAACACAAACCTTTGGTGTTATACTCTTGCCCGCTCGTTTTTCAACGCACTCTTTTGCCCCACCTTATCCCCTCTCCCCGCTTTTCATCTTCACACATCTTTAGTCATCCAACATTTTTTTTTCACCTTACACATTTGACCAACTTTTATTTGCCTTTCCCTTTACTTTACCCAGCCTCCACACCCACTTCCCTACTTATTCAAGCAGAGTAGACTACATTACCCCCTGTCCCTACAACCACACTCCTCCCCTCATGACCACTTTTCCATTCAGCCACCCACTCACATTCACCTGCCAATGTCCAATTAATCGCCTTCAAGTCCAGCAACCCGTATATCCATTCCTGCCAAAATCGCCCATTAGTAGTATCACTGCAAGGGGCAATTCCCTCCTCTTTCCCTTTCACATGCCCAATGTCCAGTGTAAATCTGCAACAAAGAGTTTATTATTCTGTTTTACACCTTTCCTCTCAAGCTCTTCAATTTCCTATAGGGAAGGAAACTTGAACATTGTAATTCATTGTGTATCCAGTACTTGGCTGGAACGTGATACTTGGTGCTTATTACCTAAGCTACTACAAAGCCGTCCTACATTTTGCAGAAGAAACCTTTTCCACGCACCCAGTCACTGTGGCCAACACAGACTTTGCTGGCAACAGATGACGCAGATGACGTCTGCAACGCCCTTTTCGAGCCACAGCCATTCTCATGAACAATCTAGATGACCCTAGTGCACAACTGACTTACAGTTCTGATAGCGAGAGAAAAGAATTCAGTGAGCTCCAGCTTAAAGATGAGAACATTTTCTCATGGTAAGGTGCAAAACTAGGATGAACAAACATCGACAAACATACGATGGACACCGGCGAAGCTAGACCAATCTGGCCACCACGCGGATGTGATCCACCACCTTTACTAGAAGAAGAAAACCATCCGGTTGAAGTCATGAAGTTGCAAGACGCTGAAACAGTTGCTTCAGTTTTCTTCAATCGGTGGATTGGCTAGCATGGGGTGCCTGATTTCGCTCATAGTGATCAAGACCCTAACTTCGAGAAACGACTCTGCACTGAACTATGTAAGACATCTGCAAGGCAAGGGGTAGGTAGAAAGAACGAATCGCACTCCGATCGAACTGCTGAAGGCCGTTAATAAGGACCCACTACCGGATGATGGAGGTTTGAGCGTGGGACGTATCCTTCTGGCGTGAAGGCCTCCACTTAATACATCAATGGGCGTTTCTTCTTTTACGATGCTCAGAGGTAGTGAAATGGGAGTGCCTTCCAACATTTTTCTGTTAGACGCCGATGAAGCAGCTACCAATGTACCAGATTATATACCGCTACTGAACAACGCATAGAAAACTTTTCACCTCGCAAACAAACATTTACAACATCCTTATATCAGACAGAGGAAATATTATGATCGACAAAACCGTACGAACTGCTACAGAGAAGGAGGATTAGTGCAAATATGCAGATCGTTTTCCCTACCTTTAATACATCACAAATCCCATCACCCATGGAGCAAAAACCCATTTTGGCTGGTGAAAGCCTTCCCACCTACAAACTACCTCGTCCGCAACGCACAGCTGAGTACCCAGCCAGTATCCAATCACCATAACAAGATGCGATCCTACAAAGTGGTACCACTGATTGGATATGAATATGAGGTTTACGTCCTCAAGGAGAGCAAGAAACCACTGGAAGGCAGCTTTGGAAGCAACTCATGAGTGGTAGCACCGGAGACGGTGCTGAAAGGATAATAGGGCTATGTAATACTTGCGTTGTTTAAAATGTGCCTTTCAGAGAAGAGGCGAATAGATGAATCGGAACTGGTGACTGAGGAGCAGTCAATACCCGACAACCCAGAGAACAGTTCTGTGTCCAAACCTTCTTATACTTATACCTACTCCTCCCAATCTACTTTACTCAATAAGCATGACAAAACTAGATCAGCCTGGGTGTTCTAGAAGTACAAGGGCTATGGTTGAGGAGATATACGAGCCTCATTTAGCAGTAATATGTGTAAATTGCTAGAATTATCTTTTGTTATGGCACGATTTGAAATAAGTAAGAAAATGACTTTGCCAAAGGTATTGACACATGTTAAAAAGAATATGCAATGTTATTTATTTGATGCCAAAGGTACCAATCCACTCAAACTCCTTCTTCATCACTCATTGTCATCGTCATCGAACCTTGTACGGCAGTACTGGTTGGCCAGACCACACTCCCAACTGATTGCTAATGATGAGACCTGAGAAAGTGGCAGTAAATAGAGGAAGCATAATGAAGACAGGAGTGAATAGAGGGAAGGGAGATACTTACCAACATTTCGGTGGTTGCGTTAAAAAAAATTGTACTTGTAGTAGGCTGTGTTTGATAGGGGGTCATAAGACATGAGGTAGTAGACGTCAAAGTGCAGGTTGATGAATACCCTGTTACTAGTCACAATTGTAGATACGAATTAAAGAAATGAGGGGCAGAGGCAGACGAG